TTGCCGTCGGCCGAAGGTGAAGGCGGGAACTTTCTCCTTCTCGAGACTTGTTTGCAACTCGCCTGGCAGATACACATCGGGAAAAGAGCGAATGCCACTTGGGGTTCAGTCAGGATAGGGACGAGTCACTGGCAGAGGTATCTGCGAGGATTTTTCTGGTGACGGACGGAGCGACGGCCAACGGTACTGACAACTGGGATTGCTTCCCCCGACTTAGGAATCGAAAAAGCGCGTACTGATGAGTCTGCCGGGCATCTTGTTGGCGCTGCCAGCGCAGCTCACTCTCCACGCCGCCACGTCTGTCGGTATCGAGGCGGCCAGTAGGAGAACCAGTGCCACGACTAGTACCGTGCGGACTGCAGTGCAGAGAAAACATAAACAGAAGATGAAAGGAATTTAAACTACTGCGGGTGTCAATCGGCTAAGAAGCGCGGCATGTGCTCGTCGCAGGAGCTGGCGATACGAACATAAGAGCGGCTATGCATTGTGTGAGAACGTATGACGAGAGGATGTGCTCTTACCGTTGTGACGAGCCATTTAATGAAACAGTTAGTGGACGCGAAACTGAAGTGAGTGTTCTAACTTGTGTCTAGAAGCTATCAGGAAGACTTTCGTAGGCGATTGTATCTAGTAGCTCTTTGCCGTTGCAAGGCCGAGCAAATCTATTTATGCGACAAGCAGAAAGATGAGGCTTGTCTTGAAGCTGTTGATCACACGCATTCCTTTAGCGATGCAGCAGTAAGTCCCTGCCTCTGTTTTTGGGTGTCTCTTCGCCGGGTATTATACATGAGCCAGTTTCGTCCATGTCGGAAATTCTGTTGTCAACTAGTCAAAATTCTTGTGTGCCTTCTCGCGCGAATTGCAATGTGTCGGTTGGGGGTCGCATATTTTTAGCAGCCATGTGCGATTCGGGCGCGCATTTTTGCATCACCTTGGCACGTCGCAAGAATGCTGGCGATTGAAGCTGACGAGATTTTCGCACGCGAGCTTCACGTCGCATGAACATGCGCTGGCAGCTTTTGCGAAACCAGATCTGATTTCGACAATGGGAAAACCGTGATGGCGGCTGTCAGAGGAAAAGCGAAATAAGAGGATTTCACGAACAGATATACTAAATTGATTTTCTTACATGTTTATCGCGTCACCTTCAAGAGAATGTCAATGCTCAACAAAGAAATCGCCCCTCCAGTCTGTTCCATAACGAGCTCAGAGTCAATCGTCGGTTCTCGCGCCCCATGGTTCACCATTTCCAGCCAACAAACCAGCTGTCAACTTTCATGCATCGACTGCCCGCTACTCAGCGCATGTCACTCGAAAAACATCGGACAATTCGGGTGATGAGGCTAGATCTCGCGATTCAGATCCATACGAGGTGCAGAGCACGATGCCCGAAAAAAGTCGCCCTCGATGTCGCGAGCTCCAAAATTCGCAGGAAATTTAACAGACTGACCTAGATCTACGCCAGAGGTTCCTGTCTGGTTCTTATGTCCGTGAGTAACATGGAAGTCGCAATCTTCGGCGCGACGGCGTGTGCTGCGGTTTTTGCGCAGTACGCGTTTATAAGATGCGGCCTGCACGGCTCCTTCACTAGCGCGTCCTGGCCAGAGGCGACCCTCCCGGACGTTCAGAATATCACTCGCGTTTCTAATCTCGTTCTCTCCGTGTACAAACGAGATGTAACGGAGCCTCGTTTCAGCGATGCCGTACCGCCAGCGCGCGTAGTGAAATCCGTTTCGTACGATGACACGAGAGGGCAGTGCCCGCCGTACACCGTATTCCTCGATCCTGACGCCAAGGATGTATGCGTCGCGATCCGCGGTCTTCATCTCACCCACGAGGCGGATTACGCCGTCTTGCTCAATAATCGTACGGGACAGCAGGTGAGTCCGACACCTGCTGGGATAAAGCTTGTCCCAGGAACCACAGTGCTTGGCGAACCTTGGGATTTCTAGTCAAATTTTGCCTTTCGGCTTCTCAGGCGCTTTTGTGGAACCCCAATTTACCTCTTATGTTGCTAGGGTTTCTGCAGAGGCTTGAAGATGGGTTTGCCCACAAGGGCCTTCTGCAGGCAGCGCAGTGGTTGCTTGAACGAGAGGCTGACACCTTAAAGGAGTTGCTACAAGCGAATCCGGGGTTTAGCCTGACTCTCAGCGGTCACTCGCTTGGCAGCGGAATAGCCTCCCTGCTCGCCATTCTCCTTGCGAGCTCGCCAGATCGAATTGGCATTCTGCCGCCTGGGAAGCTCCACTGCTTGGCCTTTGCACCGCCAAGGGTTGTGTCTCTGAACCTGGCTGTCAAGTACTCTGACGTTATCACCTCCGTGGTCCTTCAGGTAAGATACGATGTGAGCTCAGCTGTCCTTTCCTCCTCCTCCCTCGTGCATGCAAAGTGCGTTGTGAGGAAAGCATTGTAACCCGTTCCGTGCAGGATGATTTTCTTCCCCGGACAGCTTTGCCTCTTCAGCTTATTTTCGGGGCTGCGTTGTGGTGCGTATTCTGTATTCTGGTTTGCATTTCTCATGCCTAAGACAGGCACTAGCTGGTTTCAGAAACTTACATAATTCTTCTCTGTGCAGCTTACCATGTCTCCTAGCGTTCTCATGTATGAGGGACACGCTTGTTCCAGCCTGGGTGCTTCATCGAAATCCTGCACGCTTGTACATACCAGGGAGAGTCCTTCATATGGTTTACACCAAGTTTTGCAGGTTGGTTGCATAGTCAAGCTGTACAGCATTTACGGGTTGGAAAGCTGCACCAATACCTGCAGTTGTGCTTCCCTCCCCCCAGTTGTCAAGGAGGCAGTACCCAGGGAAGAGAGGTTTGAGCATCTTGTGTGCTCGATGAATGCTCTTCAGGACCATTCCTTGGTCCGCCTTCGAGCCAAGGCCCAAGGTGCTGCTGTGGTAAGCTCTCATGCATAGTGTTTACAAGTCAATATCTTTGTTGTCAAGATTGTTCATGAGGTTTTGTTTTGCAGAGACTACTGGAGGTTGATTGTGCCACCTTGGCACCCGCTGAGCAAATAATGGAGTGACACAGCAGTCTGATCTGGTGTATCGTGACCATTAACAGCTGACAATATTTTTTTGCTGTTTGATGTATATTCCAAAGACTGTTGAGTTTTTTTGAATTGGTACATAGAGATGCCATAATTATCCATTTTCCAGGTGATGTTTCCGAAATGAGTTAGCACAAACATTCACAAGTGTATGTGGCACGTCTCTCTCCTCCTGACCAATGTCTGCGAGGCGGAACCGCTAGTTCAAATCAGCTCAAAGATGCCCCACGTCAAGCCTACCCCGACCAAACCGCTTGGTTCGATACTCCCAGGCCACGCTCTGTACCACGTTTCACTTGGCTCAAACCAGAGGCCCGAATTTCGGAGGGGAAGGGCGGGAAAATCGGGTGGGGGGGCCGGGGGGAAACGCGGTCCATCCAATTATGAAAAACGCCCACGTGGCGAAGTCGGAGCAATTTAGGTCGATTCAATTGAGAGAAACGCGATTTCTGCCGATGCGCGCGATTTCGCCAGAGGCTTGTCTCACCTCGCGCTTTTCCATACCTTTATCAGTTCGCGGTTTGTCAGATCTGCCTCGTCACCTGACCATACGAACGAGGCTCGAGTGAAGATGGATAAATTTGAACCGTCGATATGGATAACAAGACTGAAAGCTCTGCTTCGCGATCAGTTGGCTGGCATCCCATCCGTGCTTTCTTCCCTTCTTCAGTGAAAACGGCTACTATCACAGAGGTGGTGGTTTCTTCAGCATCCAACACAGCCACACAGCACTCTGAGAACAATTACGAAGGGAAGTCAATTCCAGGTGCTGCTTTGTGGCTGACAAGTGTTTCATTAGTAGTGCCAACCCGCTGTTCATATAAGATGATTGCAGCTTGATATTCGTTACTGCAGTTGGAGTGGGTGGTTGTCGGGAATACGGAATCCAGCAACTGTTGGAATGACAGATTCGGATTGAGCCAGCAAAACGAGTTAGTTTCCCAGGTTAAGGCGCTGATCTGCACTTAGACAAGTATAGGTATCACATTTCTAAACGTAGCGTTTTCTTTTATCTTTCACGGTACTGTCCTGGAGCTGATCTCAATATCGAAATGATGAAGTCGTACGGAGTCCCGTCGAAAGGGAGCGGACGAGCGGGTAGGCTTCGGTTGCTAGCTCTGATCGTGATATGCCTCGGGGTGGTGACGTGGCTGCACTATGACGTACCGGAGAAAGCGGAAACCAAGAGAGCCGATCCAGATACGATAGCTCGCGTGTGCGAAGGCCGGTACATCTACATGTATAACCTGCCTGCGAGATTCAACAAGGTGTGTGCCGATCAGTGAGCTGCATGGCTGGATCATTCCCATTCCCCGTTTTCTCGTTTCAAGGGGAGAACAGCCATGATAACTGAGAGGTGAAGGAGAACAAAGCATGTAACCACACACAACTTGTGTCATCATAACTTCGTAATCCAATTGTGAATTAGAACCGTTTGTTAATCGAGCTGCATCCACCAGCTTCTCCTCCCCTCCAGCCCCAGCGTCCTTATAAATCTTTTTTCGTTGCTTGCCACATTCCTGTGAACAAGCTCAATTCTACATCTCCAGTCGCTCGATATCCTAGCTTCGAAACAATATCTGGTATTAGCCGCTCGAAATCGGCGGCCTCTGTCCCTTAATACCCCCTTGCCGTTTGATCACGCCGTGCTCCCTCTTTTGCCGTTCGATCACGCCGTGCTCCCTCCTTTGCCGTTCGATCACGGCGTGCTCCCTCCTTTGCCGCTTCCCTGGCGTGCAGGGCGTGCTGGCCAAGTGCCGTGGCCGCGACGACACGGGCGAGCGCTGCGCGGAGCTCAGTTCCATGGGCATGGGCGTACCGTACCACTCCAAGGTGCGTCGAAACCGTAGGTGGTTTTGGGGGTTCTTACGAGACACCGCCTTGGTGCCATTGACGGTCGGTACTAGACATTGCCTGCAAAATGGTGTGCGCAGATCAGTTCCATGGGCATTTGCGTGCCGTACCACGCCAAGGTGCGTCGATATCTACACTCCCATTCTCTTCTCTTTTAGTAGCGTTTATCATTTCCCCGTCGGTAGAGAGTCAACTTATGACTCGCCTGAGAAGCAATGATCGCTTTCTCTTTTTATCGCTCTCAGGCCTTTATCAGTTATCCGCCTCTCCTTCCCCATGCACCCCACTTCCCTTCCCATGTATTGCTTTCCTGTGCGCCTCCATTCCCCATTCCCCTTGCCCCTCCCCCATTTCCCATTTCCTCATTCCCAATCCCCCGTGTTCCTCCGTGACCCATCCCCCCATCCCCCAATCCCCCCATCCCCCATCCCCCATCCCCCTTCCCCCCCATCCGACCGCGCTCAGAAGCCCGAGTACGCGGGGGTGGCGCACTGGTGGCGCACGTCGCTGTACAACGCGGAGCTGCTGCTGCACCACCGCCTGCGCAACCACCTCTGCCTCACGCCACACCCCTCCCAGGCGCACCTCTTCTACGTCCCCTTCTACCCCGGTATGTCTATCACCTCTTCTACGTCCCCTTCTACCCCGGTATGTCTATCACCTCTTCTACGTCCCCTTCTACCCCGGTATGTCTATCACCTCTTCTACGTCCCCTTCTACCCCGGTATGTCTATCACCTCTTCTACGTCCCCTTCTACCCCGGTATGTCTATCACCTCTTCTACGTCCCCTTCTACCCCGGTATGTCTATCACCTCTTCTACGTCCCCTTCTACCCCGGTATGTCTATCACCTCTTCTACGTCCCCTTCTACCCCGGTATGTCTATCACCTCTTCTACGTCCCCTTCTACCCCGGTATGTCTATCACCTCTTCTACGTCCCCTTCTACCCCGGTATGTCTATCACCTCTTCTACGTCCCCTTCTACCCCGGTATGTCTATCACCTCTTCTACGTCCCCTTCTACCCCGGTATGTCTATCACCTCTTCTACGTCCCCTTCTGCCCCGGTATGTCTATCACCTCTTCTACGTCCCCTTCTACCCCGGTATGTCTATCACCTCTTCTACGTCCCCTTCTGCCCCGGTATGTCTATCACCTCTTCTACGTCCCCTTCTACCCCGGTATGTCTATCACCTCTTCTACGTCCCCTTCTACCCCGGTATGTCTATCACCTCTTCTACGTCCCCTTCTACCCCGGTATGTCTATCACCTCTTCTACGTCCCCTTCTACCCCGGTATGTCTATCACCTCTTCTACGTCCCCTTCTACCCCGGTATGTCTATCACCTCTTCTACGTCCCCTTCTACCCCGGTATGTCTATCACCTCTTCTACGTCCCCTTCTACCCCGGTATGTCTATCATCTCCCCCACTCCCCACCTCCTCACTCCTCTTCCTCTTCCTGTGTTCCTCTGGGTCTCTGTGTCACTACAGGCCTGCAGCTAGAACACGTGCTAGGCCTCTCCAACACCACCATGGACGAGAACTGTGACGTCACTCCTCCTCCTCACCTGTGTGTGTGCATGTGTCTCTCCCCCTCTCTCTGCGTGTCTCTCTGCAGGGCTGCAGCTGGAGCACGTGTTGGGCTTCTCAAACACCACCATCGACGAGTATTATGACGACCTGGCGCAGTGGATTCGCCGCCAACCCGCCTTCAAGCGGTGCGTGCTTCCAGCGACTTCATGCTCACAGCACACCCATACGCGTGCACCGCCCTGCCTGTCCCGTTTTCCCCTCTTTTATTCCTCGTTTTCTGTTTTCCATTTCCCGCTTCTCATTCCATCTAGTGCTCGGCAAAAGCTCCTTGCGCGCCTACCATCTCCCCTCCCACTCCCAGGTACGGCACCAAGGACCACTTTTTTGCCCTGGGGCGCACCACATGGCTCTTCTCTGCTTACCGCCACCCAATTCCGGCTCCCCAGTCACCCAATTCCGGCTCCCCACTCACCCAATACCAGTGTTGTGCGTCTACAACCCCCACTCCCCCACTTGCTATATCTCCTCCCCCCACCCCCAGGTACGGCGCCAAGGACCACTTCTTTGGGCTGGGGCGCACCACGTGGCTCTTCCGCCGCTCGCTCTCCCCCGTGCTGGACGGCTCTAACCTCGAGCAGATGCCCGAGTTCATGCCCGTGAGTCCCGCACTGCATACTTGCTACGAGCCTTTGAGATGTGCTCATACGCGTGTCATCATGTCATCATGGCAGTGTATTATGTTTGCTTTCTCAAGGTGAATGCACCGCTCGCTGTCCCCCGTGCTGGATGGCGCTAACCTCGAGCAGATGCCCGAGTTCATGCCCGAGTCGTGCACTGCATACCTATGAGAGCTACAGACCTGAGAGTGACTCATCTCTCACAAGGTGAATGCATCGCTCTCTGTCCCCTGTGCTGGAAGGCGCTAAGCAGGAGCGGATGCCCGAGTTCATGCCCGTGAAGTACCGCTCAAAGACTTGGGCTTAAAACGGCGCCCTTTCATTCGGGTCTTTTCTCCTCTCCTTCCTTGGCAGATGATAAAGCTGGAGGTGGAATCGGGGTTTAAGAGCAGCTTCCCCTCCCTTTCTCTCCCGTTTTCCCCCCCCTCCGCCCTCCCCCCCTTCGCCTCCCGTTCCTCCAGATGATGAAGCTGGAGGTGGAGCGCTATGCATGGGACGACCAGGACTCGTTCGGGCTGCCCTTCCCCACCGATTTCCACCCCATCTCCACCAAGCAGCTGCGCCGCTGGCAGGTGAGAGGCAGTGAAGGCAGTGAGAGGTGATGCAGTGATGGTGCGGTGGTGTGTGGTGTGGTGTGGTGTGGTGTGGTGTGGTGGCTGCCCTTCCCCACGGACTTCCACCCCATCTCCACCAAGCAGCTGCGCCGCTGGCAGGTGAGAGCAGAGGCAGTCGGGGAGGTGAGGGAAGAGGGGGGGCAGGCAGTGAGAGGTGAAGCGGGTGATGGTGCTATGTTGTCATTACAAGAGCAAGGAGCGGGAGACACCGTGTTTCTTTGTCATTCCCACTTCTCCACCCTTGCCCCTCGCCTCTCCCAGGCCACATTGCGGAGTGCCTAGCGCCCATACCAGTTTGTGTGCATCGTCTTGCCCATACTCCTCCCCTCCCTTGCTCCCCCTCCCCTGTGTTCCTCTCCATCACCAGGCCACAGTGCGCAGTGCCAAGCGCCCATACCAGTTCGCGTGCAACATCCCGCCTGACAGCAAGGATCCTGAGGCCGCCACCAAGACACCGTGCTGTCCGTCCCTCTCATACCCACTTCCCCCTCCTCCTCCATCACCCGCACTTGCCCTCGCCCCTGCAGGCCACAGCGCGCAGTGCCAAGCGCCCATACCCGTGTGCGTGCATCATTCCCCCCGACAGCAAGGAGCCCGATGCGGCCACCAAGACATCATATTGTCCTTCCCCGCTCCCCTCCCTTTACTTTCACCAGGCCACAGTGCGCAGTGCCAAGCGCCCGTACCAGTTCGCGTGCATCATTCCCCCGGACAGCAAGGAGCCCGAGGCGGCCACCAAGACACGGGCGGCAGTGGTGCAGCAGTGCCAGGCGCCGTCCACCTCGTGCGCGCTGCTCAACTGCAGCCGCGGCGACTGCAGTCATGAGCAGGTCATGGGTGCGTGTGGGAGGGAGGGAAGGATGGGAGGTTGTGAGTGAATGAGTGAGTGGGTGGGTGAGAGGAGGGGGGGTGGCAAGGCAGCACGGCAGGCGGTGGTGCAGCAGTGCCAGCTGCCGTCCACCTCGTGCGCGCTGTTCAACTGCAGCCGCGAGCAGATCATGGGTGAGTGGGAGGTGGGGGAGGGATGGGAGGGTTGCGAAGGTACCTGTACCCGTCAGCGCTGTACGCGGTGCAGAACGGCAGCAGTTACAAGCTTTGTGCCGCTAACCACCACCCTACATGTTTTGCTCTTCCTGCTTGCCCCTTCCCACGCCCCCTCCTGACCTGTACCTATCACCACGGTACTCGGTGCAGGACGGCAGCAACTACAAGCTGTGACTCTGCTAACCACTATGCCTGCTTCCTCTACTCCCTCCACCCTCCCCCCCCCGCCCCTCCCCCAGACCTGTATCTGTCAGCACAGTACGCGGTGCAGGACGGCAGCAACTTTGGGCTGCGCTACCTCATGGACTCGCTCGTGGCGGGGGCCGTGCCTGTGATGCTCTGGAACCGCACCTACGCCCTCTACCACCACCACTTCCCCTGTACGTCGTCCCTCCTATGCTTTTGCCCTGTAAGCCGTGTGTCTTGCGCCTACCCTGCAACCGCTCTGTGCTCTTCCTTTCCCATGCGACTATGATCGGTTCTTCCCACGTCCTGGTGGGGGAGGGCGTGCCTGTCATGTGCTCTGGAACCGCACCTGCGCCCTCTACCAGCTCCACTTCCCCTGTACGGCCTCTTATGCTCTTCCCCTGTGCCTGCTTCTATGCTCTTCCTCTTCCCCTGTACGTGCTTCTATGCTCCTCCCCTCTACTCCCAGCCCTTCCCCTCTACGCCCCCCTGCACCCGCATGTCCCATCTGACATACTCTCGTTTGTAAATGAATATAATGACTTGTCCTATCTCGCATAATCATGTCTCATCCCAATCATATCTCCCCTTCCTGCCCCATGCCCCCACCCACCATCACACCACCCACCCCCGACACCTTCATTTCCACATGCTGTTCCCCCATGCCCTTGCCATGAACACCCCCACCTGCTCCTGGCCATCCCCGACTCCTCACTGTACCTTCCCTGCCATACATTGCCATGCCTTAGTGCACTGCCAAATCTGACATCTTTCTTCCCACATGCTCCTTTTTATGTCCGTGCCCTCCTCCTTGCTCCCCAATCTCTCCCACCAGCCAACCCCAACTCCTTCTCGGTCTACCTGCCTGCCTGACTCCTCCTTGCTCCACTCATTGACGTGTCTGAGTGGACCACCGTGGAGCACCCCATGCACTGACTCTCCTCTTTCCACATGCTGCTCCCCATGCCCCACCATGCCGCCACCCACCAGCAAACCCCGACTCCTTCTCAGTGTACCTGCCGTACATCGACGTGCCCGAGTGGACCACCGTGGAGCATCGCCTCTCCAAGGTCGCCCCTTCCCGCTACCGAGCGCTGCAGCTGCAGGTGAGACAGCTTTCCAAATGATGCACTCATAAAGGCTGCTACTGAGGGCTGCAGCTGCAGGTGAGACAGCTTTCCAAATGATGCACTCATAAAGGCTGCTACTGAGGGCTGCAGCTGCAGGTGAGACAGCTTTCCAAATGATGCACTCATAAAGGCTGCTACTGAGGGCTGCAGCTGCAGGTGGCGTTGTTTCTGGATGTCTGCACACGTTAAGGCCGCTGCCATGTTCACTTGATGTGCTCAGTCAGTGCTACACAGCAGTTGCCCTTCTCTCTTACCATCCCCTCCTTCCCAAATGATCCATGTGACCTTCCCTCAGAATGTAGACCCCCTCCAATGTCCCTCGCCACTGCACCGTCCATCCTTCCCTCACCCTCTCCCCGTCCACCCCTCCACCATCCCCACACCCCCCCGTGATCCACATGATCCCATCAGTCATCTGCGTGGATCCCTCGCACGTCCATCCCCCCCATCCTCCCTTCACCCTCTCCCACTTCCCTCCATCCTTCCCCACCCCTCCCCTCCCTCCTCCCCCTCGTCCTCCCACACCTTCACCATCTTTACAACCTCAGGTGATCCACATGATTCCATCACTCATCTACGTGGATCCCTCACATGTCCTCTCCAACGTGCGCGATGCCGTTGACATTGCCATCGACCACATGGTCGACCTCTGGCGCGACCGCAAGGCTCGGCACGAGTATCCCGTACCTGCCACAGCATCCGAACCTGTTGGTACGGGCACGGAGATTAATGAGGAAGGGCGTGGCAAACGATTGGCAGATGCGACACTGGGTGAATTGAGTGGGGGTGGTGAGGAAATCATTCATGAAGAGGCAAAGAAAAGCAGCGGTGCCAATAGTGAAGGGTGATGATGTGAGGAGGTACACCGATGGTGTGTATTTTCCTCAGCAAGTAGGGCATACGTGTTGATATTCTAGTCTGTATTTTCTGCCTAGATGTGTTCTGAGCTGAGTCCTAAGGGCCCAATGACTTGTAGAAACTGTTTGACTCGGGTATAGCGTTGTGTAGTGAATTGTCTGATTCTTCAGGGAATATGAGTGTAAACCACTTGTGACACCACCGTACCTGATGAAGTTGGTGGGGGGCAGGGATTCTGGGGATACCCACGTCATTCTCAAGGCCAGCGGAACTGGTGGCTGTGATGTGAATGCTTCAATCCTGTCTGGAGGGAAAGTCAGCATGTTTCTCCACGGGGAATTTCGAAAGCTCCCCGACACCGCGTCCGACACTTTTTTCTGCACACGCGCAACCTTGCAATTCTCCGAAAGCCTCCCACCAACAAGCATATCTGTGCTTGGCTCAATCAGCTGCAGAAGCAGGACTATCATCATCGTGCTGCTAGGCAGCAGCAGTTCAAATGAACTCCGCCGTGCTGCCATCGTCGCAAGCCGCCGCACAGTCGCCCATGCACCGCCTCGGTAGCCTCCTGCGGACGGTCCGGTCCATTCGACCAATCACAGCGGGCCATGGCGCACCGCCGTCCTTGCGCGCGCGAGACTGTCCCGCTTCCGTCCCCGCTACAAGCCGACTGCCGGCGCCTTTTTCCGGACGCGAAATTTCATCAGTAGTTCCCGTTGCAGATGCCTTTGCAGCATCTATCGCCGTAAGAGGCAGAAACGGCGTTTACCTGTCCTCGCGACGCGTAGCTATTCCAACCAGTCGACGGAGTCTTAGCGGTCCGATTCCGCCATTGTCTGCGACTGGATACGCGTTAAGAACAGGTCGAGGTGAGCTCGTTAGGGCGTTTGCGTCGAAAAGCGATGCCGCGACGGGGGAAAGCGATGAGGTGGGAACGAAGGTTAGCGCCGGGGAGGGGAGCAGCGGCGCAGGCGGGGAAGCTGCGGGAAAGGAAGTGCGCGGCGAGGGGACCGGTGACGGAAGCGGCGGCGCTGGAGGCGCGAGTGACGTGGACTTTATGGCGGCGGTGATTATCGACGAGGGACTGGCGGCGGAGGTGGCAGCGCGAGAGCAGACGGACAAATGGAAGGTGAGGAGGAGTGATCGACCCTCGTAAAAGGACCCTCGTAAAAGGACCCTCGCGGGAGGACCCTCGTAAAAGGAACCTCGCAGGAGATGGGTACGTGCTGGCGCCAGCCTAAAGCCCAGGGAGGCTAAAAGCTTTTCCTTGGCCGGCTTGTCAAAGGACCTGCTTGCTGTCCCGCATGTCGGAAAATCCCGCTTCGTGAATCTTTTTCTTGCACTCCTTCCCCTCACCCAGCACTCCCATTCCCTCAACCCCCCAAAACAACGCTTCCTTTTCCCCTCCCTACGCTCCTCCCCCCACCCGCGCCCCTCCACTCCCTTTTCCCTCCCCCCTCCCCCTGCGTTGTCCCCCGTCCGCCAGGCCTTGGCGGAGGAGCTGCGCCTGGATGCAGCGTCCGCGCTGGCGCTGGCAATGGAGGAGTTTGAGGAGGTGCAGAGCGGTACTGGGGTGGCAGCTGCAGAGATGTCCGTGCTGCTGTGCACGGACGCTTATATCAGGGAGCTCAATAGTGAGTGGCGGGGTGTAGATGCGCCCACGGACGTGCTCTCCTTCCCCCAAGACCAGCCTCCGGGACTCTCCCCTCTGGTAAGGCAACTACTCGTAACTTACTCACTTTACTCCCCTGCTTGCTTCAGCATAGCCTCTAGTTGCGCCAGCTTTTGCTTCTTGCCTCTGTCTTATCCTCCCACTCGCCCGCCTTTCAGCTTCGTTCATCCCACCATTGCCCAGTGTTGTTTGTAGTCGTGTTTTGACACAAAACTACCATCCACTGGTTGTTCTCCTCCTCCCTCTGTTGGCCCCATCGCACCACCTCCTGTGCTGCAGTTGCTTTTAGGCGATGTGATTATATCGGTGGAGACGGCACAGCGGCAAGCCAATGAGAGAGGGCATTCACTCTTGGACGAGCTTCGCATTCTCATGGTAACGTGCTCGTGGTGACGCTCTTGCATTTCCATACGTCTTTCCTCCTCCTCATGGCAACATCTCCTGTGGTCACAGAGAACGACTAGTCCCATGATCCCACGTTCCCCGGTGATCTCCGGTACTACTACCACAGATGGCGTTGCTTTTGAGAAGTCTCGAGCAGCTCCGACATGCGGCATCTCCTGGGACCGTTGTGGCCTTGTCCCTCACCCTTCCCTCATTCCTCTCCTCATTCCACCCTCCTCTTCAACTTTTCCCCTTCACAGGTGCACGCCATGCTGCATCTGCTGGGGTATGACCAATGCCTCCTCTGTGCCTTCCCTTCCCCTTCCCCACCCCCCTCCCCCTCCCCTTTCCCACCCCCCTTCCCCTCCCCCCTCCCCCTCCCCCTCCCCCTCCCCCTCCCCCTCCCCCTCCCCCTCCCCCTCCCCCTCCCCCTCCCTGCCCCTCCTTCCCCCTCTTCCCCCACCCCCCACAGGTGCACGGCATGCTGCATCTGCTAGGGTACGACCACGAGGCGCCCAAGGGAACTCCGCAGGGCGCTGCTGACTCAGCGATGTCAGAAGCTGAGCTGGCGGCAGCGGTGCGTGAGTCAGCGGAACAGATGGCAACAGAGGAGCTGCGGATTCTGGAGGCATTTGCGTGGCGGGGAGTGGGGTTGGTGGCAGCTGCGATGGGGGAAGAGGGGGGAGGGGCGCAGGGAGGGGGAGAGGGAAGAGGGGAGGCAGGAGGGGAGGGAGGAGAGGAGGGAAGAGTGGAGGGAGGAGGGGAGGAGGGTGAGAAGGGGGGTGTGAAGGCGAGGATGACAAGGATTGGCATGGTGCAAGGTGTGTGGGGGATGGGAGGGCAGTTGCGAGGTGTGGAAGGGGTGGAGATGGACGCAAGGGGTGGCGAGGGATGGAAAGGGGTGGAGAGGAATGTGAGAGGCGAGGAGAGGAATGGAGAGGAATGGATACAAGTGGAGGAAAGGAATGCAAGCGAGTTGAGGTGTGACGGTCGTTGCTAAATGCCTTGAAAATGCTAAGAAGCTTCTTCTCTTGTTCTCTGGATGCTTGGTTATGGCAGGGTGGACAAGATTTGTGACAGTAACAGGGGAGGGAGACGAGGGCGGGGGTGGTGAGGAAGGTGGCACGGGAAAGCACAAGGGGAAACACAAGGGCAAGCATGGGAAGGGGAAGGAGGAGAAGGGGAAGAAGGCTGGGAAAGTGCTTGATGTGGGGGCGGAGAAGGAGAGAGAGCATAAGAAGGGCAAAGAGAAGGAGAAGGAGAGGGGGAAGGAGAAGGGAGAGAAGAGGCGGACCAAGAAAGCGCCGTTCCAGCTGCTCTTGTGCGACATGGATGGTACGTGTGGTGGATGGTATGTGTGGTGTGTGGATGGTATGTGGGGCATGGATGGTATGTGGGGCATGGATGGTATGTGGGGCATGGATGGTATGTGGGGCATGGATGGTATGTGGGGCATGGATGGTATGTGGGGCATGGAAGGTGATGTGCAACGAGAGTGAGTGTGGACTCTTAATTAACAGAGGAAGCACTGCAAGCACAAGACACCGCACGCTGCCAGGCACGCTGCTCAACAGCGCCAGCAACCCCCATCCACAGTGGACGCCCCGAGCACTCACACGCCAAGGGCGTGCACTGTATCACGCTTCTGATCTGCATTCTCCTCCCATGTTCCTTCCTTCCCTCCCGCATCTGCCTCCCAGGCACGCTACTCAACAGCGCCAGCAAGATCGCCCCCTCCACAGCGGAGGCCCTGAGAGCAGCACACGCCAGGGGCGTGCGGGTTGCCATAGCCACGGGCAAGGCACGGCCAGCCGCCATGTCCGCTCTGGGCGCGGCAGGGCTGGTTGGTGCTGCTGGCATCTTCAGCGACAAGTCCCCGGGGGTGTTCCTGCAGGTGTGTGCAAGGTGGAGCTGTGTCAACCACATGAGTTTCTGTGGACTACGGGTGTTACAATTGCCACTCTGTGCTGTTCCTGAGGTGGCCATTGCCACGGCAGGGTGGAACCGGCTGCCATGTCCACTCTGGGCGCTGCAGAGCTGCTCGAATCTGCCGGGATGTGTTTTATGTGTGCCCACATGCTCTATGTGTGCCCACATGCTCTATGTGTGCCCACATGCTCAAGTGAGTCTCACATTCACCCTCCCAAGGGCTGAGGGAGTGTGGCAAAGGAGGGAGCTGCTGCACCATGCCACTTGAGTCTTCTCACCTTGCCTTTTTTTTCCTGGTATTCTCTCCTTTCCCCCTCATGCTTGCGTGATCCCCCCACCCGCGCACCCCACCCAGGGTCTGAGGGTGTACGGCAAGGGAGGCAGGGTGGTGCACAACGCGCTGCTGCCCAACGAGGTCACTCAGGAGGTGCGTGCCTCCGCCTCCCGCCTTACACCCATGCATGTGTCGGTGCATGCATTAAGTGTGTGCGGCAAGTGGGGCAGGTGATTTTTTTTGTCCTCCTCCTCTGTCAGGCCATGCCTGCCCTCATTTTGTCTCTCCCCTGTTGTTATTCCCTCTACCCCGTTCTATGCTTTCCATGTTTACACCTCTTTCAGCTCTCATAAACCCGCTGTTCGTTCCTGCTTCTCCCTCTTGCTTGCTCCCTCCCATCCATTTTGTGTATCCTCTCTCGCTCCTCCTCCTCCTCCTTCCTCTGCCCCACATGGGTTTGAGTTGGCCCCGAAGCACAGCAAGGCAAGGTGAACCAAAGAGTTCGCCCTGAAGCTCGTTGCTCCACTTGTGCCTCATTGCTTTCTCACCGCCCCTCCTCCGCCCCGCAGGGATTTGAGTTCGCCCTGAAGCACGGCAAGGCACTGATTGGCTTCTGTGGGGACCGTTGCGTGACACTTGTCGATCACCCATTGGTGGAGGCGCTACACACCATCTACTACGAGCCACGGGTATGTCCTTATCATGACACGCCATGCGATTTCCATGACACACCATGCGATTTCCATGACACACCATGCGATTTCCATGACACACCATGCGATTTCCATGACACACCATGCGATTTCCATGACACACCATGCGATTTCCATGACACACCATGCGATTTCCATGACACACCATGCGATTTCCATGACACGCCATGCGATTTCCGTGACACGCCATGCGATTTCGATGACACGCCATGTGAGTTTCATGTTCCTCATGTGCTCCTGTTTTTATGTGTGTGCATGCAACGTGCTTTCCATGCGTCATGTTGATGTTCCTTACATGTGCTCCTGCTTCCTTGCGCGCTCATGTGTGTGTGACAGGCGGAGGTGATGCCAAGTCTGCACCACATCATCAACGAGACACCCATCCAGGTGAGCTCAGCAGATGTGTCGTGTGGCACTTTACACGGTGACCCCAGCAGCTGTTTCCTATTATCTGTAGAGACCTTTTTGCATCAATTATCTTTCCTCTATTCCCTACCACTTCCTCGTGCTTCGCTGCTCCCCTTCCCCCCATGGCCTGACCTTCAAGCAGAAGCTACTGTTCTACGACACGCCGCACGGCATTGACGGCTTCATTCGTCCTTTCTGGTCGGCCGCTACAGCCGGCCGTGCTACAGTGACCCAGGCAGTGCCGGACATGCTGGAGATCCTGCCGCCCGGGCAATCCAAGGGGGCGGGAGTGCGAGTGCTGCTGGACCATCTGAAGCTCTCTGCTGAGCAGGTCGGTCCTCCAACCCTACATATGGTGTACCATTTTCCTGCAAAACTTTTTCACTACCCCCTCTGTTTTCTCTCAGTGACATACGCACGCATGCACGTGCACACACACACACACACACACACACACATACACACACACACACGCACACACACACACACACACACACACACACAAACACGCACGCACGAACGCACGCACGCACACACACACACACGCAGACCACACACACACACACACACACACACACATACACACACACACACGCACACACACACACACACACACACAAACACGCACGCACGAACGCACGCACGCACACACACACACACGCAGACCACACACACACACACACACACACACACACACACACACACACACACACACATACACACACACACACGCACACACACACACACACACACACAAACACGCACGCACGAACGCACGCACGCACACACACACACACGCAGACCACACACACACACACACACACACACACACACACACACACACACGCGCGCGCGCACGCTCGCACCCCCCACCCCTCCCACCCCCCCCCACCCACACGTGCGCATGCGCGCGCGCGCACACAGGCCGTTTCGTCCATGTTTGTGGGCCGAGTTTTGACGTCATTTTGTTCCTCTAATCCGTTGCAGGTTATGGCAATTGGAGATGGCGAGAACGATCTTGAAATGATTGAGATGGTGGGTTGGGGAGTGGCTATGGCGAATGGTTCCGAGAAGACAAAGGCTGTTGCGAAGGCCACAGTTGCAAGCAATGATGACGATGGTATTGCAGAAGCGATTAATAAATTTATCTTGTAAAGCACTCTAATGGTAATTTCTTATCAAAACATGCGAGAAATTGTAACCTTTCGTGTATTCATTCCGACTTTGTCCATTGGGACTGACGAGAAGCGAAAAGCGCGAAAGTGAACTCTGACAGAATTTAGAAATCCGAGCCATCCGAACTTGGTCGTGGGTCCGGTTGTTCAAACGGCGACCGTCAACTAGGTCTGGTCACCTCGATTTCTCCCTCATCTCTTGCCGCTCATTCCGTCACATCACGTCCATTCCCCCACACCTACAAATCGCAGCCCGCAACCGGCGTGGCGGAATCCTCCTTGTGAATGTTCAAGTCGCGTTTACAAGGGCCGTTGTCAGAAGCTTTGCTACATTCTAGATTTCCGTCCAGCGTTTCGGGCACGCAAAGGAATCAGGGCCACTTAATTTCACAGGATCGATCGACGACCCACCGAAGTAATGGGCGCTGTTAGAACTGAATAGTATCGTTCGCGATCCAATCCCCATGGACACGTCTGCTACCGCGCATCCTGCGCAGTTGTCCCTTCCCACCACACCAGAATCGGGCCTCCGTGTTTCGCGGAGCGCAGGGAACGTGCAGGAATCCGCGAATGGCTCGAGCGCCGCGTCGACGCCGCGCAGCCACAAGGAGATGGAAGCTCTCGCGTACTCCTCTGGCCAGAGCCTCGCATCGGTTCTTAACGACCCGCGCCTCGGGAAGGCTGGAATTTACGGAACTGAGAACGCATGGACCTGGATTACCGCGCAGCGACCACTGGAGCCAGTTCTAGAGGGTCCTCCGCCTTTGCCGCCGGAAATTCAGGATTTTCCGATGTCGGAATTTCAGCCGTATTTGCAGCGGATGAGGGAGCCGTATGGGCGATTCGTGGACGTGCAGGAGCATTCCACGTGGGAGTTGGCCACTGGCGAAGCACCGGGCGCTGACGTGGACAGCGAAGGGAGAGAGGGACGGAAAGGGAAGGGCATTCTGGCGTCGCGGTCAGAAGGTCAGGGTCTAGCAGCGTGTCTCAGGGAAATACCCCCGGTTTATTTCGACGAGCATTTTGCCCTTGAGCGGAAGGAGATTTTTGATACGGTCTGCCCGTCGCCCTCCATTCCCGCGAATATGCTTCTACAGGAGAAATTATCGCATTACTTAGACCTTGTCGAGGTGCACTTAGTTAAAGAAATTTCTTCCCGCTCCGACTCGTTCTTCGAGGCCCTGGAAAAACTGGAAGATCTGAACCGTGGGATCGTGGAGACGTGCGATCGCATCCGTCTGTTGCGCGGCACGGTGGGGATGCTGGACGAGGATCTGCTGGAAGGATCGCGGAAGCTGCAGACAACCAAAGTTCGGCGGGAGAATCTACTGCAGCTGCATCAGAAGCTGAAGTTAGTGGCGTTCGTGCACCAGGCCATGGCGACCTTGAAGCTGGTAAGGCCATTCCGAGGCGCCTAGGTTCTGAGCCGTCTTGCAGGCCGAAGCTACTGTTGTTCCCGCACCATGCCATGGCGACGCTGAAGCTGGTAAGAGACGAATCGGTAAGAAGCCTCCTATGAGCTGGTGTCGTCAGGTGAGTGTGCGTGACGCCTCATGAACGGCAGCGAGCTCACTGGGTGCTCGTGATGATGGCGCGCACCCCTTGCTTCCTGCACTCTCATCCTTCCTTGCTGCCCCATATCCCACCATTCTTTCCCATCCTACCAGCTGGTGTCATGAAGCGACTGTGCGGGTGCGTTCGACCTGATGGACGACCGGAGGCGCATCATGGACGGCCGCAAGCTCAGTGGGTGCAACCCCGCCCTCTAATTCTTCCTCCCTGCCGCACAGGCACCACCCCTGGCCACCAGCTGGTGTCAGCGGGCGACTGTGCGGGTGCACTGGACGTGATGGACGATCTGAGGCGCCTCATGGAGGGGCAGGAGCCCACTGGGTGCTCGTGACTGTAACTTGCACCCCGTGCTTCCTGCCCTGCCCACCAATCCTTCCTTACTGCCCATTCTCCCACCACCCCACCCAATTCATCAGCTGGTGTCATCGGGCGACTGTGCGGGTGCGCTGGACGTGATGGACGACTTGAGGCGCCTCATGGAGGGGCAGGAGCTGGCAGGGCTGCACTGCTTCCGCCCCCTCAACGACCTCCTCCTCTCCTCCTCCGATGCCGTCAACAGGTCCGTCAGTCTCTCGTCTCTCTCTCTCCCACTCTCGCCTCCCACTCTCCTTTCCACTCTTCCTTGCCATTCTCCCCTCCATTTCTCCCATTCTTCTATTCTGTCCCATCAGTCTTCTCACGTTCTTCTCCCCACTCCCACTGATGAGCGCGCTCGACCTCTCTCAAACACGGAACCACACTCCTATTTCTCACAGAACTGTTCCCTCCCATCCCATACCCCTCCCATCCGCCCACCCAGTCTCTAACAGTTGACTTTGCAGGAAAAGTTATGACTTCTGAGTCACTCAGAAGTTGCTTCTGCTCCTTCCTAAGTCTCTCTCATACCACCACCGCCACACTTCCTCCCCACTCACCCTTTCCACCCACCAGTCCCCTGACATCACACTTCGTGCCAGAGGCATTGACTTTTGAGTCAACTCTAGAGTCAGCTTTGTTCCTTTCTATCGTCACTGCCACACCACCTCTTTCCTTTCCCTCTTCCCTCCTCCCTCTCCCCTCTCCCCACCCCTCCCTTTCCGCCCTCGCAGCCTCCTAACAGCTGACTTTGTGCGGGAAGCAGTGCACGATGCTGCTGACGTGGCACCTTCCGCTATAGTCACCAGTTTCAACCTCCAGAAGAGTGTGCCGCCCGCCGCAACGCTGCTCTCTATAGTCAACCTCGAGGTGTGTGGAGTCAGTGTGTGACTCTCTACCCCGTCAGCCCCATCAGTCCGGCCAGCTGTGCTCGTGTGTGCTCTGCTCTTGTCCACACAGGAGCACACAGCTGTGCTCTTGTCCAGTCACCTGTGTGCCCCTTGCCATGCCATGGGTATGCGTCCCTGCCAAGGTTTGCCCTGCCAAGGTTTGCCCTGCCAAGGTTTGCCCTGCCAAGGTTTTGCCTGCCAAGGCGTCATGCTGCCATGGGTCCCATCTCTCGCTCTGCACCTTTCCTCGTGCCCTCCGCTGTGTGCCCAACCCAACCCAACGTGTGCCCCGTCGTACATGACCCGGGTGTGCCCCATCCATGCCCGGCCCATTCCACATGCAGCGGGAGGGCACGGAGGAGAGGGAGGCCCGCCTGAGGGAGCATCTGCTGCCACTCGTCATCAGCCTGCTGCGCACGGTAAGTCAAGGGTCAGGGTTGAGGGGTTTGGCTGTAGGAATTAGGGTTTCAGTAAAGCACTTTCATTCCTTGCTCCCATGTAACCCCCACTTCCTCTGCTCCCACCAGTCGCACCTGCCTGCAGTGCTGCGCGCGTACCGAGATGCAGTGAATGCGGACATCAAGGCGGCAGTGAAGCTTTATCATCCCTTCCACCTCCCCCTAACCCCAACTCCCCATCCCCTCACCAGTCGCGCCTGCCGGCAGTGCTGCGGGCCTATCGGGATGCAGTGAATGTGGACATCAAGGCGGCCGTGAAGACGGTGGTGGGCGAGCTGCTGCCGCTGCTCTTCCTGCAGCACGCCGCTGCTGCTGCTGGCGGGGTGGGGGGTGGTGCAGGAGGCGAGGGGGGCGAGGCTGCCGCTGATGCCCTGAACGGTGAGACATGGGGGGCAGTGTGGGATGGAATGAAGGCGAGCTGCTGCCGCTGCTCTTCCTGCAGCACGCCGCTGCTGCTGCTGCTGCTGGAGGGGCGCCGGGTGGTGCAGGAGGAGAGGGGGGCGACGCTGCCGCCGATGCCCTCAATGGTGAGACATGCGGCCAGTGGGGGATGGGATGGGATGAGGTGGATGGGCTGATTTGAAAATTTTAGGGTTTCGGGTTTTCAATGAGAAGGGGAGGGGGCGAGCCTGCAGCCGATGCGCTGAACAGTGAGGCACGAGGTGCAGTGGGGGGTAGAACCAGGGGACGCGGTTGATTTGGAGTAATTTCTCTGACATATGGAGGGAGCGAGCCTGTTGCTGTGAGAGAGGCGTTGGTTTGGAGTCAATTTCACGCTCTTATTTTCAAAGAAGGGAAGCGGTTCAACCTTTTGCTCATTATTTGTGTTTTTCTTCATGCGAATGAGGTCTCACACCCACTTTCTTCCACCCATGTAGCCTTCTTTCAACCAACTAACATGTACCTATTCAATCAACCCTCACCGTCCTCCCACTCTCCTTCCCCAACTCACCCCCCCTTCCCCTCTCCCCTCCCTGCCACCTCCCCCTCCACCCCCAACCCAGCGCCATCGCTCGCCCTCAAGCTCCGTGCGCTTGCCCCCCCTGCCTTTGTCCACTTGCTGCTGGCCGTCTTCTCTGCCGTCCAGACCCGCCTCGTGCGGGCGGCAGCCGTTCGGAACGTAGTGTCTGGCATTGCCACCGCCGGAGCTGCTGCCGGTGCTACAGCTGCGGCTGCCGAGCCTGCCGTGGGGTACGAGGCTGCTGCCGTGGCTGCGGCGTTTGCTTCAGGGGCAGAGCTAGTGGTGGCTGCCGAGGCTGCTGAGTCAAAGCTGCTGGGGAGGAAAGGGGTGGGGAAAGGCTTGGGAGGGGGAGGGGCGGCAGGAGGCGTTGGGGGAGCTGCAGGGAGCGGGGAGGCAGCAGGGGGGGATGTGAGCAGCGTGACTGCTTTAGCCACGTTTAAGCAGCTCAGGTACGTTGTGCTCCCACCTGCCTCACTTCTCTCTGCCACCTCTTCTCCCACGTTCACTGTGCTGTGGGGGAAAAAGCAGGCAGTGAGCGCCTAGGAGGGGCCGCATGTGCGCTGGGCCTTTTCACCTTCCCCACCCATCCATCCCCATCCTCCCGGTACCCCCCACCTCCCCGTCCCTTTCACAGGCGACGTGTTGAGGGAGAAACGCGGCGGCAGTGAGTGATGTGTGTGAAGTGGCGCATGGGCGTGGGTCGTTTCCACCCCTCCCTGTTGGTGCCCTTCCTTACTATGCCCACCAACTCCCATTCCTCCCCCCAGAGCGGACGTGCTGAGGCAGAATGCAGAGGCAGTGAGCGACACGTGTGAGGTGGCGCATGGGTGGTGGACCTTCCTCTTTCGCCCCCTTCCACTCCCATCCTCGCGTGCTTCTACCCCTTTACCCCCCTTTCCCCTCCCGGCTTTCAGAGCCGACGTGTTGAGGGAGAATGCAGAGGCAGTGAGTGACGCGTGTGAGGTGGCGCACGGGCGGTGGGCGAAGCTGCTGGGGGTGCGAGCACAGGTGCACCCGAAGCTGTCCTTGGGGGACTTCGTGGACATGTATGCTGTGACTTCGGACTTCATTGCTTCCACTGAACGGGTGAGCTGCTGCTGTCGTGTGTGGGACATGATATCGAGCACCATGGTAACTCTCTGCTGTCTCTGGGATATGACTTCGTGGACATCTATGCCGTGACCTCCGACTTCATCGCGTCCACTGAACGGGTGAGCATCTGCTGTTAGTGTGGAACCCTCAAGCTGCTGGGGGTGCGAGCTGAATGGGTGAGGTGCTTCTTGGTGTGTCTGGGCGGCTCAGCTGCTGCTGTGTGGGGCATGGGCATCAGGTGCACCCAAAGCTGCCTCCAGGGGACTTGGTGGGCATGTATGCTGTGACTCGACTGAACGGGTGAGGTGTTGTTGTGTGGAGCATGGCATGGGCATCAAACCCCCCAAGCTGACTCTGGGGGACTTGGTGGACGTGTATGCTTCCACATCCGACTTCATTGCGTCCACTGAAGGGGTGAGCATCTGCTGTTAGTGTGGGACATGGCTTGGAGCATCATGGTATGTCACTGCTGCCTCTGGAGGACTTGGTGGACGTGTATGCTTCCACATCCGACTTCATTGCGTCTACGGAGCGGGTGAGCATCTGCTGTTAGTGTGGGACATGGCTTGGAGCATCATGGTAAGTCACTGCTGACTCTGGAGGACTTGGTGGACGTGTATGCTTCCACATCCGACTTCATTGCGTCCACTGAAGGGGTGAGCATCTGCTGTTAGTGTGGGACATGGCTTGGAGCATCATGGTAAGTCACTGCTGACTCTGGAGGACTTGGTGGACGTGTATGCTTCCACATCCGACTTCATTGCGTCTACTGAAGGGGTGAGCCGCCTGCCTTCCGCTGCCGTTTACACCCCTCCCTTGGCTGTAGCATCCGGGGGCACCACCCCTCGAGCGCTTTCCGTCTCATACCTCCCCTCACTTGCCTTGCCTCGGTGCCACAGCTGGGCTGCCGGCCGGGCTACAGCAGACGGGGTCAGAAGCACCCCTTGTGTTGTTTCCCGCTCACGCCTTCGTTCGGTGCCTTTCCCTGCCGTTCACCACCTCTCCGTCCCCTCGGTGCCACAGATGGGCGGCAGGTTGGGCTATAGCATACGGGATCAGCACCCTTCGTGCTGCTTTCTGTCTCATCCTCCCCTCCCTTGCCTTGCCTCTATGCCCAGGTGGGCGGCAGGCTGGGCTACAGCATACGGGGCGCGCTACAGTCGCAGGCCAAGGCGTTTGTTGAGACGCATCACTCGCGGGAGGTGAGAGGCAGCAGTGGAGGGAGGTGAGGTGCAGCAGTGGAGGGAGGTGAGGTGCAGCAGTGGAGGGAGGTGAGGTGCAGCAGTGGAGGGAGGTGAGGTGCAGCAGTGGAGGGAGGTGAGGTGCAGCAGTGGAGGGAGGTGAGGTGCAGCAGTGGAGGGAGGTGAGGTGCAGCAGTGGAGGGAGGTAAGGTGCAGCAGTGGAGGGAGGTGAGGTGCAGCAGTGGAGGGAGGTGAGGTGCAGCAGTGGAGGGAGGTGAGGTGCAGCGGTGGAGGGAGGTGAGGTGCAGCAGTGGAGGGAGGTGAGGTGCAGCAGTGGAGGGAGGTGAGGTGCAGCAGTGGAGGGAGGTGAGGTGCAGCAGTGGAGGGAGGTGAGGTGCAGCAGTGGAGGGAGGTGAGGTGCAGCAGTGGAGGGAGGTGAGGTGCAGCAGTGGAGGGAGGTGAGGTGCAGCAGTGGAGGGAGGTGAGGTGCAGCAGTGGAGGGAGGTGAGGTGCAGCAGTGGAGGGAGGTGAGGTGCAGCAGTGGAGGGAGGTGAGGTGCAGCGGTGGAGGGAGGTGAGGTGCAGCAGTGGAGGGAGGTGAGGTGCAGCAGTGGAGGGAGGTGAGGTGCAGCAGTGGAGGGAGGTGAGGTGCAGCAGTGGAGGGAGGTGAGGTGCAGCAGTGGAGGGAGGTGAGGTGCAGCAGTGGAGGGAGGTGAGGTGCAGCAGTGGAGGGAGGTGAGGTGCAGCAGTGGAGGGAGGTGAGGTGCAGCAGTGGAGGGAGGTGAGGTGCAGCGGTGGAGGGAGGTAAGATGGGTGAGGGGCCAGGTGAGAAGCAGGTATGATGGGCGAGAGGTAAAAGTAGACGGGCAACAACACGACCTTCCCTCTCCCCTCTCCGCTCTCCCCTTGGCATCCCACCAGATGGCGCTCATCCTCGCCCTCCTCCACAGGGACACATGGACGCCTTTCCATGCACTCGCTTCACACTCTTGGCCCCTCTGCTCCCCGTTTCTCTGCTCTGTGCTTCCCTCTCCCCGCTCCCCGCTCCCCGCTCCCCGCTCCCCTATCATCCCACCAGATGGCGCTCATCCTCTCACTCCTCAACAAGGAGACATGGACGGCTGTGGATGCCACTCCTCACACCCAGGCCCTCGTGGAATTCTTCTGCACCTTCCTGGATCCTTCTGCCGAGGCCGCTGCTGCTGCCGCTGCCGATGCGGCTGCTGCTGTTGCTGCTTCTGATGCTGCTGCGGCTGCTGCTGCTGCTGATGAGGCTGCTGCTGTTGCTGCTGCCGATGCGGCTGCTGCTGCTAATGTGGCTGCTTCTGCTGCTGCGGCTGCCGTTGATGGTTATACGGCCACAGATGAGGCCGGGCGTGTCACAGCAGCGGCCAATGGGCCGGCGACAGGTGGCACTGCAATGGATAACACAGAGACAGGGAGCGGTTTAGCACAGGCTGAAGGTGGGCTAAGAGAAGATGGGGCACAAGACTCGGCGCAGCTAGAACAGGCAGCAGAGGGTGATAGGAGTGACGGGCAAGGGCAGGGGGATGCCACAAGAGGGGAAGGCAGTGGGGCAGGAGAGAGAGGGAGAAGGGACGGCGGTGAGGGTGGAATGGAGGGTGGTGGGGGCGGAGTAGGTGCCACGGGGCAGGGAGTAGCAGCAGGAAGAGGGGAGGGTGAGAGGGTAGAGGCGGATGGGGTTGAGAAGGGGGAATCGAGGAGGGAGGGAGGTGAGGGAGGGGCGGAGGGGTCGCAACGGAGGGAGGCAGCGACAGGTGCAGAAGCGCCTGCAGCACCAGCAGCACCGACGGGAGCAGCAGTGCCAGAAACACCTTCTGCTGCTGCACCTGCACCTACTGCTGCCTCTCCTGCTGCTTCTCCTGCCGCTTCTCCTGCTGCTTCTCCTGCTGCTCCTGGTGCTGCTGCCTCCCCTGCTTCCCCTGCCACTGGAGCGGCAGAGGGGGCGAAGGCACAGAAGAGGGCAGCTGTGAAGACTGTCGCGTGTCGCGGGGTGAAGTACCACGTCACTGGCAGGTGAGAGAAGTGCCACGTCACTGGCAGGTGAGAGAAGTGCCACGTCACTGGCAGGTGAGAGAAGTGCCACGTCACTGGCAGGTGAGAGAAGTACCACGCCACTGGCAGGTGGTGCGGTAGTCTTTGCAACGGCCCAACCTGCTCTTGGTATCTGGAAAGGTGATGCAGCGCCCGGTCTCTCGTCCTGTGCCCACCTCCTTCCCAACCACCCTCTCATTTTTTATCCTTCCCTCCCCCAACCCCCTACCCCTCGACCAGTGCATGCACGCTCCTGTCAGTGACCAGAGAGTACGTGGCAGTGGGAAGAAGCTGACATGCTCACGCGCATGGTCTCCTCTCATTCCCTCCTTCCCACCCACCAGTGCATGCACGCTCTTGTCCGTGACCAGAGAGTATGTGGCAGTGGCGGAGGCACTCCCGTCACTGTCAGGGGAGGTGGTGCAACGCCTTGCGGACCTGCTGAAGCTCTTCAACTCGCGCACCTGCCAGCTCGTGCTGGGTGCGGGCGCCATGCAGGTAGCAACCAGGGCGGGTAGCAGGTAGGGGCTTGTGAATGCAGGTAATGAGGTCATGTACGTCGGTCAACCTGCTGAAGCTCTTCAACTCGCGCACCTGCCAGCTCGTGGTGGGCGCGGGAGCCATGCAGGTGAGCACTTGGGCACGTGGGTGTGTACGTATGGTGCGATAAAGGCATGACACGGCACTCTCCAGTCCACCTGCTGAAGCTTTTCAACTTGCGCACCTACCAACTCGTGCTGGGCGCGGGCGCCATGCAGGTGGGAGGGGCTTGCATGGGTGGCAAGCAGGGTGTAGGCCCCATGCAGGGAAGGGCGACCTGTGTCGTGATCGCACACGGGGTGGACCGTGGAGGCTGTGAGGCACAGCGAGCTTGCTGTAGGCCATACAGGGGATTGGGCATGTGAGCCTGTTTGCAGCAAGGGTTCCCTTGCTGGAAATGCATGAAAGTCTCTAAGCTGTCTGTCAAGTGCCGCTGCCAGAAGAGTTTGCACGTGGTTCTTCGTTGATCCGCGCCCCTTGCTGCTCCTCTCCTACCCTCCCTCCCTCCCTCCCTCCCTCCCTCCCTCCCTCCCTCCCTCCCTCCCTCCCTCCCTCCCTCCCTCCCTCCCACCCTCCCTGCGTGCAGGTGTCAGGGCTGAAGACCATCACAGCCAAACACCTCGCACTCTCCAGCCAATGCATCTCCCTCGTCTATGCGCTCATCCCCGGTGAGCTGTCCTGCTGGTACAGTCACAAGAGTTCATAAGCACCAAACCAATGCGTCTTGCTCGTCTGCGCTCTCAGCCCCTGTGAGCTGCTGCATGCAGCACTGACCTGCCTGCACACTGTGTGCTGTACTCATCCCTGCTGACCCATGTGCATCTCGGATGCGCATTGCTCCCCCGTTTTTCCCTTTGCCCTCATCTCATCCCCCTTTGCACCCATTACACCCCACATACCCACATCCAACATCACGCCCGCATGCCCCACCAGACCTGCGGCGCATTCTGTCTGCCTTCATTCCGGACGCGCGGCGAGGGCTCGTGATAACGCACCTTGACCGCGTGGCGCAGGTATGCCCCCGGTATGACCATTAGGTATGCTGCATCTCCACAGGTAGGTTGCATGCTGCATGCCCCCCCTGCTCGCAGTTCCAGCATCACTTGTAGATCTGGTTTTGGCAATTCCTTCAGCATCGTTTTCACCTTCCTGCCATGTATCCCATGTGCCACCACGCCCTACCACACCGCACTTCACCGCACTCCACCACCAGGACTACAGGGTGCACAGGGATGAGATCCACAGCAAGCTGGTGGCGATCATGAGGGAGCGCCTGCTGGTGCACCTGCGCTCGCTGCCCGCAGTAGCTGACACCTACTGCCGCCCGGACGACTCCCCTGCCGACCAGCAGCCCTCCAACTTCGCCCGCGCTCTCACCAAGGTATGCCTCAGATGCCTGTCGTGCCTCGCTTTCCCCTCATGCCTCTCATTCCTCTCATGGACATGTCGTGTAACTTGATGATGTGTGCCTGTCAGTGGGTGTCAATGCACACAGCCTCTTGTTCGTTCTGAATTTCTCCTACCTCGTTCAACCCTACTCAATCCACACGCTCGCCCCCACCCTCTCAAACCTGCCATCTAACCCCACCTTGTCACCCCCACCCGCTCCTCCCCCCACCATCTTCCCCCACCCGCTCCCTCCCCACCATCTTCCCCCCACCATCTCCCCCCAACGCCAACTCCCCTTGCCAGGAGGTGGGTGTGCTGCATCGCATTCTCTCCCCTCTGCTTCTTGAGGCCGACCTTCGCTCCATCTTCTCGTGCGTACTGCACCGTACTGTACCATACTGTACCGTAGCCATGGTGGCCCCGCATTCCCAGGGGTGCTTCTCATGCCCTGTTCCCACAGGCAGTCCTCATCTCCAGGCACACTCCTATTTTGACTCTTGCTGCGTATCCCCGTTCTCCACATATGCTGTCATACCCTTGTCCCCACACGTCCTCTCACATCCCCATGCCACAAGTGCTGCCATACCCTCATTCCCCTTCTCGTCCTCCCAACCCTCAACCCATGCCCCATCCCCCTCTCAACCTGCCATCAACCACGCCCCATCTTCCTTCAACCTCACCTCTCCTCTCCTCGCCTCGCGTCTCCTCTGTGCGCGCATGTACGTGTCTGGGCGCACACCAGGCGGGTGGTGGCGTTGTTCCACGTGCAGCTCGCCGACTCCTTTGCCAAGATCGACACGCCCACGCCGCAGTCCAAGCGCAGGTCAGAGGGGGAGCGGGGGAGGGAGGAGGAGGAGGGTGGGGGGGAAGAGGTTTGCTTGATGCACTCTTGTGTTGTGAAGTGGCTTTGAAGTCGGCTCATGCCTGCTTCGCAGCCCAATGTGGGTGGGAGAGCGTTCTTTTCTTTTTTATGCATTGCTGGTTCTGCAGGGTCTCCTGTATGCTCTTTCCTGTGAAGCACCCACTTTGTTCCATCTGTTCATGTAACTCTCCTGTTATTTTGTCGTAACATGTGGCGTGCAGAGCTACACTTTGCAAAGCTTCTCATGCTTTCCCCCATTTCTTCTTTGATCTGTACAGAATGTACCGAGACGTGGATCTCATTCTACAGTGCATGCGGTCGTTACCTGGTAACCCGCCAACGTCCTCTTTTGACGGGCGGCAGAGAGAGCTTGACCAATTTGTGCTTTCTAGGTTTGGGAACAGTGGCCCCCCTCCATGACGACTTGATGTATCTGATTGTTACATGAAGCCTCTCATTTATGTATGAGATCTTGAAAGTTATCTTGTAGTGTACCAAGAGAAGAGAGTGCCGTAAGTTACGTCAAACGTCAAGCAAGTTGTGCATAGCAGTGTGGTGTTGCGAAGAGTGATTATTGAAGTATCACTGTGCACTCCTTACCGCAGCAATCGAATCACGCACTACCGGGAATGAAGGCGAAGGGACGGAAGAGACGCGAAGGGCCGCACGGTTACGAAAGGATCTGGACCGTCGGGCAGACAGCATCAGGCAGCAGCAATGGCGAGGATTCTGCCCGGACAGTTTCGTAAGTGTCTGGAGTCGCACGGTTGGATTTCGCTGTAATAAGGGAATGTACCCCTTAGAGTACATGTTAGGTCGATTGGTATTCCCTTGTACTCTTATTTATAGTGCTGTATTTGCATGTTTTTATCATCTCAAGCATTTTATATTCACTCTGCTATTGAGGTCACGGGCCCACCACTACACAACTGTGTGCGAACCTTCCTGAGGTGATCCTAGGCGCGATCAACTTCTGATCGCAACATGGTATGAGAGCGACTCAGGAATCCTTCGCATCGCCACCACCGAAATCTTCGGCGAACGAAAAGTGGCGTCCGGCACACGCTCACGCGTGAGAATGGCCGGAGGATCTGGTGGTCAGACGAATCTGACGGCTGAAGCGCAGACCAACCCGGCTGCGACAAGCGAGGAAACGACGACGATCGGAACCGCCGCCCTCGCACAGATGCTTCAGCGACTCACCAGCCTGGAGCAACAACTCCAGACATTGCGGAACGGCGACGCGGGAACTTCTTCCCAACCCTCTCAACCGGCCTCAAACGGCCACAACACCGCCCCGCATACCTTCTCCCTCGACACCAATGGCTCAACTCCCAAAACTCCCCGTCCCAGCGAAGAGGCAATTCTCTCTGCGCAATCAAGGTTTTTGAGTATATCAAAAATAAAGACAAGTGTGTGCTTTGACGGCAGAGACTTCTATACGTGGAGCTTCGAGCTGGAGCTGCTGCTGCAAAACGCGCAGATCTTCCATTATTTCGACGGGAGCTACTCTGGACCCGCTGAAGACACCGTCGACGCCAAGGCAAGGTACTACAACGAGTCCCTGATGGCGTACGGAGTTCTTCTGCGAAACATGTCGCCGGCGGAGCAATTGAGCATTCGCTCATACAAGACAACGCCTGCCCCAGCCCTCGACGATTGGCGCCACCTGAACGGCGTCTACCAACCGACGGACTCGGTTTCGTCGAGCCGCCTACTCCAGCAGCTACTGGAGAAAAGAATGGCACCAGGGGAGAAGGCCAACAGCTACATCAATCGCTGTCGGAGCTTACACGATCAAATCGCGAAGTTGGGAAGCACGATCTCTGAGGAGATCTTCGTGAACATTGTGCTTCAAGGGCTCTGCCCAGAGTGGTGGCCCTGCAAGGCGCTTCTCCGACAGCAGGGGGTCATCTCGGAGGCCGCCCTTTGCGCCGCCCTCCTCGTCGAACAACGGGATATGGACCAGCAGCGACCAGCGCCGCGACGAGACAGGGAACGCCTCGCCTTCTACGCCGACAACACGGAAGAGCGACGGCCGCGGCGCCTTTACTGCAAGATTTGCAGAAACTTCGGGCACCTGGCAGATCGATGCAAACATCGATCTCGCCCTCATCATACCAATCCGAGCAACTGGTCCAGATGACAAGACGTAAGGAATGACGCGCGTCCTGCCCAGGGGCATCAACCCCCACCGCGCAACCTGAATCCAACGATTCAGCATCAGCAGCAGCACCCACCAACTGCTCCCGTTCGCAACGTCATGGGCAACATGACAATGGCGAGCGGGTCTCGTCGTCCCCGTGCGCGCTCACCATCACCGGAGGAAGAACGTCACCCAATCGGAGCGTTTTCGAACAACAATCCGTTTAGCACGCGCCACGATTTCACTGACGACGACAACCAGGAATGGAACCTGCCAGTCCCGCTGCTCGAGAGCCCCCCACACGTACCCGATACAAGGGCGGCACCGATCGACTGGATCGCGCGCGAACAATTCCTGAAGGTTGACACACCACACATCGTTACTCCGCGACTGGCGCTGCTCGCATGTAACGACAACAGGCGCTACAACACGTGGTACCTGGATAGCTGTTGTGGGCAGCACATGGTGGGCTCTGAGCGTTACATATCCAACGCCGTCGCCACCCCCGCCGTCACCTATGTCACCGTGGCGAACAACACGCGCCTGCGCGCAAGCGCGCAAGGCATCGTTGTGCTCAAGGCACATGGGAGCAGAACGCACATCACACTGAATGATGTGTTGATCGTGCAGAACCTGCGCTTCAATCTCCTCTCGGCGGCGCAACTCATGGATTGCGGAGTTGTCCTCAGCACCGACCCCGAGACGCGCGACATACTGCTCCACTTCACGATGCTGAACAAGACGCGAAAGCAAATCGGACGAGCCCACGCCGAGAACGGAGTCTACGTTCTTGATTTCGGCATTCCCGACTGCAGCGGCGACTCGCAGGAACTGATCGATCTCGTCCCCCTGCGCTTCGAACACATCCACCGCCGTGATTGGAAGCATCCTGATGGGCGCCCATAGGTGCCGCATCACCCACACCCGCGCGAAACGGCGCTGCATGACCCCGACCCCGACGGCATCTGCAGAGATTGCTATACGCCCACAGCCTCGACGAGCGCGATCGCCGGCCGTGGCCTTGCCGCCATCGCCGAAGCAGAGCGGGAAGCACCGCCTGAAGAAGGGCTGTCTCACTTGGAGCTCGAGACAGCCACGCGCATCGTTTTCGGAACAGAGGAAGCTCCTCTCCCAGGACCTGCATCACAACATCTTCACGGAATGATGCGCGGCGTTGGCGTCGGGACCTTCGATGCGGAAGGAAATCCGCGACCCTACACGCAGGAGAAATTCCTGGAGATCTACGCTCATCAGTGCGACTCTACGAAGAAGCTCACCTTCGCAAAAGAAGAGGAACTGGCGCGCCGCGAAGCGGAAGAACTTCGCCAACGGAGCCTTGCGGAGTCACGCGGAACATTCGCCTGGAGCGGATGGGGCGAAGAAGAGAGCGCCTCCAATGAAGGGGGGTGGGGAAGCGCTGGCGGATGGGGCACGAGCGACACTGGTGGCGATACCGGCGGATGGGGAGCCGCAACTGGCGGCACCACTGGCGGCTGGGGAGCAGATACCGGCGGCAACACCGGCGGATGGGGCGCCGCATCTGGCGGCGAAACGAGCGGCTGGGGAGCCTTCCGCGAGGACCAAAGGGGGGAAGGAGAAGAAATTGAGGAGGCCATTGAGGCCGAACCTCCTGTTGTTCCTCTTGGTCGTCCTCCGCGCCGCCCTGCACCCGCACTGCCCCCACCTGACATCCCGCCAGGAAGTGACCCTTGGGACACCATCGACTGGGGGAACGAGCCGTCAACCCCGCGACGCACCGTCTACGGGCCTGGCCCCGAGCCGCGCGAACCACCCTTCTTCCCGGGAACCATCCCTGGAACCAATATTCCCCTCTCCATTATTCTTGACAGGGAATTCCTCGCGCTAATGTTAACGACGGCGAACGGAGAAGAAGAAGCAGCGGCGACACCTGCTCAAGCACCTGATGAGGATCCCGCAGAAGCACTCGCGCGTTACATGCGCACCTCCGGATTCCGCGCTGACGATGCCATCTGGCACCAGCGCCTAGGTCACCCCTCGCGCGTGACTCTGAAGAACTGCATCGAGGCCGGCGTATTCGCGCCTGGCGCACTCCTGCGCCCTGATGGCACCGAAGTAAGGGGCGCGACACATCCGCGCAAATGCACCGTCTGCCCCGAAGCCGCGCTGAGCCACCAGCCGTTCCCCCTGCTAGAGCCCGGAACCAACCGCTACACCAAACTGGAGAAGGTGTACAGCGACTTCCTCAACGTGGGACACTGCGGCATCAACGACAAACTCTACACGCTCACCTTCGTCGACGCCGGAACACGCTCCGTGTGGGTCGTAAACGTGGAAGCGCGCAGAAGAGCATACGAAGCATTCCGCCTGTGGCTGGCGCACGCGCAGCGGCAATCTGGGGAGAAGTTAAAGATCTGGCAGTCCGACGGCGCGGCGGAGTTCAGGAGTAAGGAGCTGCAGGATTACCTCGCGCAGAAGGGGATCGAGCACCACATTTCTCTCCCCTACGCACACCAGCAGCAGGGCGTAGCCGAGCGCACGAATCGCACCCTCATGACGAAGGTGCGGGCGCTAATGAGGCAGTCGAAGCTTCCGCCGACCTACTGGACCTACGCAATGCACCACGCCGTGCGGGTGCACAATCTGCTTTCAACCACCGCAATCTCTGTCAACTCCTCACCGCATGTGAAGTGGACGGGGAGGAAGGGCGACACATCCATGCTCCGCGTGTGGGGATGCATGGTGCAGTACCGGCCGCCGACATCAACTATCGGGAAGTTTGCAAGCCGCGCGCGCTGGGGAATCTACCTTGGCATCAGCCACGAGCACAAGGCATGGCTCATTCTGGATCTCTTGAGCCAGAAAATCAAGAACGCGCGTGATGTGATCTTCTATGAGCAGCTCTTCCTTCGACAATTCCGTGAGGACAAGCAAGCGAACGCGAACCGCGTCTACGCCAACGACGGCCACAGCTACGCCTCATCTGAGGACGAAGCCGCAGCAGCAATTCTGGACCAAGACCCCAGAGG